ATATATATATATATATATATATATATATATCAGATACCCTGCCGCCAAAAGCGAGCGAGACATCGACTCACTGATCCACACCACCAGGATCTACAGCACTGACATTGGGATGTCATTCGGACTAGAGAAGTGTGGCCGGATGGTTACAAAGAGAGGGAAGGTCGTCCGCACAGAAGGGGTCTCACTCCCAGAAGGAACAATAGCAGACATAGAGCACAGTTACAAGTACCTGGGAATACCACAAGCAAATGGCAACCTCGATGAGGTCACAAGGAAAGGAGCCACAGCCAAATACCTCCAACGAATAAGGCAAGTCCTGAGAAGCCAGCTCAATGGCAAGAACAAGATCCGTGCAATAAACAGCTATGCCTTACCAGTAATCAGATACCCTGCAGGAATAATTAGCTGGCCAATGGAAGAGATAAAGGCCACGGATGTTAAGACTCGGAAGCTACTAACCATGCATGGAGGGTTCCACCCCAAATCCAGCACCCTGAGACTGTACACGAGCCGTAAGGAAGGAGGCAGAGGACTAGTGAGTGTGAGAGCCACTGAAACATCCAAGATCCATAAATACATCAAGGACAAAGCCTCAACAGACGATGTGCTCAGCGAATGTCTCAGACAATGGGGAACAGAGGACGAGGTGCTGGAGGAACCATCATGGGAGGACAAGCCCCTACATGGGATGTACCACCGACAAATAACTGAAGTGGCTGATATCAGGAAATCCTACTGTTAAGGAAATTTTCCTTTAACAAGGAGTGAGGAAAAACTATTTCAAAAACCCAAAGAACCAGAGAAAGAATATATTCTTAATCAGTATTTATTCGAAGTCTCTGCTCACTGATCGCAGTCAGGAGAAAGAGCCCCGAGCAAACAAAACTTACAGTTTTATCAGAAACAATCCAGAAACTATGTATGTCATAGCATTCAAGGACAGATTGATAGATCATAGACCATAGATTTATTGTACTACCAAGGACAGAGGAACTGCTCTGGAAGACTCCCTAGAGCAGGTGTGTGTCTCACAAGAATCATGAAACTGTTGTTTCGTTGTTTTACTCAATCATACGGT